GCCAGCATTTATTGCTATTGTGTTACCTTTGATCCTATTAATTCCATATGTTAGCTGTTCTGACGCATGGAGGAAAGCTGACAATGTTTGATGACATGCTCCTCTTGAATATTTCAAATCCTCCACTGGGGGACACAGCAGTGCCGTGAAAACAGTCAACGAGAAGTCGAACTGGGCCATTTTTGAGGGCCGCAGTCATTCTTGAATTTGAGTCAACACACAGTGACACAATAGTGCACACATGGTCAGTGGGCAGCAACAGACATGCTCTTAGAGGAGTAATCCCTCCTGAAACACAAGTGAATAGGACAAGAGGATCAGGCTCGTCTCCTCTAATTTCTTGGGGAGAACTTCATAAGATCCAGCTTGTCTCAATCTACCACAGTTACTGTACATCGGGGTTTCCCTTTACCGCTTTACCACATCTAAGCCGATTTCTTTTTTCTTTTTTTTAAACTGTCAGGGAATCTTTCTGTATGTCTAAGCAAGAAACATTGAATTTCATAACAAGGCTGACAGTGGCGGTGTCAAAGGTCTGAGCCAACCTGTCACATCTTTAAAGTTCAGCAATCAGTCTTGTATGAATTCTCATGGATTATTTTCTGATATCAAATGAGATTCAACATCAGTCTGACATTCTCACCTCGGTCTCAATCTTTCGTTGACTTTCATGTCTGGGCCAGAATTGTGTTGATTTGGAAAAATATCCAATCCCAGATGCTCGACGTAATTGGGGTGAAATGCAGTATTGGTTCATGTTTTGTGTCAGGAATCTGTCGTGTGCAATTTTGAACCCATCCTTTCACTGTTTGCTTTTGCCAGTATTGATTACCAGTTGCAACGTTTTGATGTGTTGGAAAAGGTGTTTCAGGGGTTAAGCTTGTTAGATGTCGATGTGCAGTTGCGCCCTACTTCTCAACAGCAGTGCAGGAGTGGATATGGACTTCCTGCGCATTAGAGCAAGAAAGCTTTGAGTAAAGTATGCTCAACTTCTCTGTGATGCTGACCAGAATTAGCTGAATAGAAAATGTGGGATGGATAGATAGAATTGCCCAGAACTGCGGCAGTTTACAGGAAATTACCAAGACTTTAGTCATCGCACTTCAAGTCTGTGTTGTTTATCCAGAAAATAACAAGTGGAAAGCGGTGATGCTGCAAATGTTTGCTTTCAGGAGCTTCATCGGAGAAAATCATTTAGGGTGAGACCTCCTAAATAGTTCCGCTTCATTTTGTATCTTACTATATGGTTGTGAAGGGGTATTTATGAGTAAGTGCTATGAAACACCCAAAGATCTCCAGACTTTGCTGGTCTCAGTTCAGGTCAGTGTTCACAACTCTACCATAAGAAAGACACTGGCCAAAAATTTTTACTTTTTTGAAGATGTGCAGCACATTACGTCTGGGGTAAAAATGGCACGGCATTTGATTACAAGAACATTATGTCAACCGTGAAGCACGGTGGGGGCAGTGTGATGGTCTGTGGCTGCTTTGCTACCTCAGGAGCAGCACAACTTGCTGCGACCGATGGGACAATGAATTCTACTGTCTACCAGAAAATCCTGAAGGAGAATGTCCAACAATCAGTTTTCGCGTTCAAACTAATGCACTCTCGGTTCATGTAGCAGGACAACGATCCGAAACACACCAGCAAGTCCCCCTCTGAATGGCTAAAAAAAAAAAAACAAACAAAACAAAGCAAAAACAAAAACAAAATTGAGGTTTTGGAGTGGCCAAGTCCAAGTCCAGATTTGAATCCAATTGAGAAAGACTCATCACCAATCATCGCAAACGCTTGATTTCAGTTATTGCTGCCAAGGGTGGCACAACACATTAATAGGTTCAAGGGGAAATTACTTTTTCACATAGGGACAGTTAGGTTTGGATTTTTTCATGTCTAAATAAATGACATTTGCATCTAGAAACTGCATTTTCTATTTCCTTGGGTTGTCTCTGATGTTAAAATTTGTTTGATGAACTGAAATCTTTGTGTGTGATAAATATGCAAAGAACACAGAAATCAGGAAGATATCAAATACGTTTTCACAACACTGTAAGTTAAATTATTGATGGGAAGCTGAGCACATGCGCAGGCAGACAGTGTTGATGCAAAAGTGTTAGTACGCCAGACATCTTCAGGAAATACTCAGGACAGAAGACTAAGTGAGCAATAAGCAAAAAAAAAAAAAACTAGTGAGAGGATGTACATCATATGAACATGTCTCCAATCTGCGATAGGACTGATATGGTGAGATCAACAGAAAGAGGTAAGTGCACCTGCTTCTTGAGACAAAATACATTTTAGGGGAGGGCCAAATAGGGAAGTTACTTTAAAAAATATATGTATTTTCTTTCTTGCAAAGGCGTTTAAAACCTTTATTTGCATGGAGCTCTAAGGCATTCTGGAGCGCTAAAAATGATGAGCCGCCAAGCATATTTCTATCGGGTTCCTCCTCAAGAGCTCCATCGACGGAACCAGCAGGCAGACCCAGCAAAGTGCAGGGCTTTGCAGACCGTCATTGATATGAAGGTAGGACTTCCTACAATACAGAAGTGAAGAATTGCCACAGTGATTCCGATTCGTGTGTAAGCTAAGCAGGCTTTTTTTGAGGCAGGGACAATTGATTTATTTATTTTATTCAACAACACACATGCAGCAGCATTGTCTATCACCTATGACTACAAGCACAATTATTGATGAGGTCTGCTGTTATGTGAGCAGAAGTGGAAACCGTCCAGAATACTATTGTCCCTGCTACTCGTGATAATGAGTCACAGTGTTCATGCCCAAGTTTATTACTTGCAAAGTTGTGTACTTGATCAGTTAGTTTCAAATGCCACATATGGAAGCTTTCGCTCACAGCTCAAACCTTTGAAGTCATCAGGGCGGTGAAAAAAATTGCAGTCGTCGCCATATGTGGAGGTGTGCACTACCGCAAAGACAGCCAACGACCCCACCCCCTCCCCCGTCTCCCCCCTCCCCCAACCTCCCCCAAATACTTACATTCTCACCCACATACACAAATGTGGCTCCACAATGCTATGAACGTATGCATATTTCTGATACGTCTGACTTTTAACAAACTGCACATATGCACGTTTGGCATGCTAACAGTACATTTACATTAGGGGCCCTATTTTCATCGACATAGGCATACATACACTTGGCGTAATCACTGATGCATCTGCATTTCTGCAAGACTTGTTTACCGTGTTTGGATATAGGGCAGGCCGCGCCACACTATGCTGGATGTTGGTGGACCTGACACTTTGGTTACAGAAGATAAACTTTAGATCAACTAAAAGCAGGTCTAAGTTGTGGCGCAGATGTTCTAACATGATTTTGTCTTTAGCATTTTTTTCATTTATTTTGTCCCACACAGATGTACAAAAGTCTACCTGCAGCTGCCCACTTTGCAGTGGCCAACTTTACCTCATCTGCAAGTAGAGATTTTCTTGCAGTTCAATTTAAATGTACAGTACTTTGCGCAGACTGATCAAGGACCGAGCAAGGACTCCAGCAAGTCCGCTTTGCTTCTCATACCTCTCCTGCGCTGCATTTGAACGGAATGAGGGTCGACGCTTGGATTAGTTGGGAATCAAGTTGGCTGGGCTCACTCCCGCAACAACGCAAACCCCTATCTCTAACTGGGCCCGTCTATGAAAAGACCAAAAGAAAGAAAACCCAACCCGTGCGCACAGTTGGACTGCACTTTGAGCTGGACAAAAATAGGGCTCTGTTTTATTGAAAGAGTGAACTGGAGGTGAAACAAATCCTGTTAAGCATCCAGTACAATGTTTTTTTGCTTGGCTACAATGACGCCGTTGCTGAATAATGCTGTCCATTGTTGCCGTCTGTAATGAGTCTGTCATGTGCACCTGGAATTTTCCCTTTGTGATTACAGAACACCACACCTCCTTTCCGTTTTGATCCTGATGTTATCTGGCAGGTACAGTGATGAGTGCTTTCTTGATCTTTCTGTTTTCACCTTGAGCTTAAGTCCTCTGAGCTTGGAATTCTGAGCCTTCATACATTTCATACTGCATCAATTTTGGGACCAGCTGGTTCTGAATGTCGAATCGATAAGTGTCTCTGTATTTTATTTGGCTTTGCCTTCTTTCTTTCTTTGTCTCTGCCTTGAGTTACTCGTGCAGAAATTCAACAGGTAACCTGAAATCTATCAACAGAGACTATCGTCCATATTCTGTCGAGTTTGTGCCTCCTCAGATATTCTATTTACATTACTTTGGAACCATAGTCATATCTTAACAACTGTTGGGAAGCTAAACCCCAAACTTTGCTTTGCCTCAGTGTGTGGAAATTTGCATGGTCTCCGTGTCCTTTTTGGAGCGTGTTTGCAGCACCATGTTCTGGTCAGGGGGCTGATGTCAGAGATAGTAATGGAGGTCAGATGCTTCCATGTTGCCTGTGGCGTGTGCTGATGGCATCATGCAATCTGCTTCCATTTATTCAATTCCCGTTCTCTTCTCATCCAAGGTTTAGCATTCAACGTATGTATGAACACATGCAGCTAAACAATCTCAGGATCTGCCCATGGCAGAACCTTCCATTCCCTCAGCCATACTTGGTTGCCAGCCTTGACGTTTCCCGTCCCTTACTCAGGCGTCTCTGTATAAAGCCTACAAAGCGGGTGTTTATTTTATGATCTTTAGCATCAAATGTCAAATCAGACTTGTTTGTTTTTGTTGCCCTCTCCATAATAGCCATTTTCACAATAACAAGTGGTAATAGTTATATTTTTTGATGGCTTCCTTGAGATCTAAGACCCTCTCTCTTTAACCTTACCGAAGCTTTCCATTTGGTAACAGCGTATGGCAGTTTTTACATCACGATCAAAAGCTTTTTACACCCCTCTAGTTTTATGCATGAGTGTGTGGATGACCAAATGGACGGCTTGAAAGAAACATGGTCGTTTAATTGGTGACATGTAAGACCGACAATCTCTTATGAAAGTTAAATGTGCCTGCTGTTGCTGGTGCAGGACACCAAGATCTCTTCATTGGAGAGGAACATCAGAGACTTAGAAGATGAGGTCCAGATGTTAAAGACCAGCGGCCTGCTGCACCCTGACGACAGGCAGGATGAGTTCAAACAAGTGGAGGTCTACAAGAGCCATTCTAAATTTATGAAGAACAAGGTAGAATGGCCTGCATGCTAGAAGGAAATTTTTTACAGTAGCACCGTTGCATGCTAATGTGTTTGGCATGATAAAGCATGGGCTCACAAGTGATGGTTTTGTGTCCAGTAGAGTTGTCCCTTGACGGTATTTCTTGGAAGATCAACTTCTGTTTTACAAAAAAAGATGCTAACTCTGTTCCACTCTGGGATTGCTGTTCATCCCGGCCAAGTGCCTCTCAACTCAACTCAACTTTATTGCATGACATCACTCACATTTGCTACAAGCTGAGTTTGAAACTAAACAAGCAACCGTAGTTTTGTCACAACTAATAATTCATCCCCTGGCCAGTCACACACAGAAAGTTCGAATTCTCCTGTTCCATTTCGTCATCTCTCTCACTTCAGTTTTTAGCGCCGCTTCTCATCCCTTTCCGTATTTCCTACAGCTCCACATTGGTGGGGTGAAACGCCTCACGGCCTCTGCTCCTCACAGCCACACCATGGCAGACAGTCCAACAGCGCCGTCATTCTGTGCTCAGTCAAAATGTAGTTGTTGGGAACTTGCAAACATGCTGCCTGTGAGGGCTCATAAACAAAAATGGGGCTGTCACGAATAGACTTAACACCAATCTGATCAGCTGCATCGGATCGGCAAACATTTTGCATTTCATGCAAAACTGGTAATGGGGTGTAATGTTATAATCAATGATGTTGGATCCGCAAAATAAGACATTAAAGCAAAGACATTTGCCTACTTTGCATTTTTTTTTTTAAATTCACTCTTGCCCATGCCTTTCCAATGCTATTACATGCTCGCAACAGTAACACTGATGGCAAAAAAAGACAAAATTAATTACTACAGCCTGTTGCAGCATACTGTATCATCTTCCCTGACATGCAAATACTGTATATTTATGACAACTCAGCCTTGCAAAACAACAAATTTTGTTTTCTCTTTCCTGCAATGATTCTTCATTGCCACACATAGAAAGTGTCACGTGCACATTGGTTTAAACATATTCCAAATGTGATGTCATGCATTTTATACAGACGCTGCCAGTTTAGCATCTTTTCTCAATTGTTAATTTGTGTTCTTTATTTGCAAATGGGATACGGGCAGGAACTCCTGTAACATGACAAGAGCAGCAAGAATTGGTTAGATGTCAAGAACAACCATTTAATTGCTGGTTGCCATGGTGTTACAGCCCCTCTGGATGTTCCCATTTAAATCAACTCTGAAGGGAATTCAAGTGATTATACAGACTCGGCAGGACAGAATTCTAACGTGCATGGATACATGTGTCTCATTCCGACAGTTGTCTGTATTCAATTTTGGCTTCCACCATTTGTATGAGAACAGCATGTGCAATTTATTGGCATCGTTTGTTGTGTGCTGGAGTGCGACTGAGAGAAAGAGTGTCACTGTTTGCACGTGGTGCATGCTATCGTTTGCATCAGTCCCCACAAACTGGCTGACAATTTTTTTTTTTTTTTTATTTGTGTGTGATTGCCAGATAGAGCAGCTGAAGCGGGAGCTGAACAGGAAGGAGCCTGAGATGCAGGCCCTGCAGACCAAACTGGAAACACTAGCCAATCAGAACTCAGACTGCAAGCAACACATCGAGGTGCTTAAAGAGTCCCTCAACGCGAAGGAGCAACGTGCCAATACGCTGCAGACAGAGGTTAGTTGACATGTAAGCACAGGTGCAAAGAAATACTTTGACAGACACACATTCTCACAATTAGACTGTTCAAGATTAAAGCTGTCGAATGGCTTCAAGAGGAGGCCATCTTTGAAGTCCCTAAACTTGATGGCTGTGATGATTTTATCTGTGCTATGAGCGATGGAGGTTGCATGGACGGAGATGGTGTGCATGTGAAAGCAGGGAGCATTTAACATTTTTCTCCATCACTCTCAAGACTTGGAACTGATACTTTAGATCTCCCTGTTCCCCCGTTGAGAGTGGCCTGCTAACTTTGTCCAGTCATCATTACAGGAAGCAATTTGGGCCAAAATTAGGCCTAATTGGCCATACATGCGTCAGGAATTTTGGCTCTTGTCGTGAATACATCATACTTATAGGGACTGGTTTCAGTGGGTGGTTTGGATTTCAGGGGTGGTTTGGTGAAAGCTTTTATATGCCCCAGCCCCTTCCTTAACCCCGAGCTGATGAACAAGATGACAGTGTAGACATAATTTAAATACTCTGAAGAATATATTAATAGTGTGATACCACCGCATTTTAGACTTCAGATTTGATACACCCTACCTCGTACTTTACAGTGGGTGATCATTATTAGCACAAGCATTTGAGTACGTGAAGTTGATGTCAAATTCATTCCACGAGTACTTGAAGGGGTTGAGATCAGGGTGCATTGGTCAGTCAAGTTGTTCCCGTCGCATCCATTTAATGAATTGCGTTCCGCTGGGGTACAGTCATGCTGGAGGAGAACGGGGCCTTCTTCAAAGCAATCCAATGAAGTGTGAACATTTTTTTTTTTGTTTATTGAAATTCCGTTAATTGATTAATTAATTGATTGATCAAGCGGTGTGTCACAAGACATTTGCAGTCAGTCACGTTTCTTTATGATCACCATTGCAGTCACTGCAGTGGCATCACGCTTGACTGAAAAACCCTGTAAAAAAAACCTGTGCAAAGGCAGTAAGTTTTGGAAATCTAGCGTGAAAGTATTTGAACAATTTCAGTTTTCCTTTTTTATTTATTTATTTATTTGTTTATTTAGTGTGTGTGTGTGTGTGGGGGGGGGTGACCAATATGGCGTGTGACACATTTGTCGGCCCTCGCCCACAATATAAGAACAGGAGCGTCTTTCTTGGCGTCAGTGGTTATCTGATGCAATTGTGACTTGCAATTAACCAGCTATGTCTACACCCCAAAAATGCATCTTCCTGCCGGATAGACCACTGACGTGGCCGCTTTCGCACGTGTCATGCAGAGTAAAGTGAAAATGCGTGGAGGGCGGAGATATTTGGACCGGTGTCTCCGGGTTGATCTGGCTGCATCGGCCTGCTGGGATTTATCCCAGCCATCTGAGGCTTTAAGTTGGATATATTTTCACGTCTCAAACACCTAGTTCTGCTTAGGTATAAGAAAGATGCTCGGTGAAATAGCATCGATTTTCCAGGTCATAGAAAGTAGTACTTGATTGACACTTGACAGTTGAGCTGGGCATGGTTGCAGCACATTCAGCTGACATGGCCACAGCGTCTGAGAGCGATGACAACGGCTTGAATATTTACAATTGTGATGCCTCATTTTACATGTGTGCTGATGTTTTGTTTTGTTTTTTTTAAATTCATACTAGCAGGGATGTTAACAACAATCTTGTCTGTGGTGTGTAAAATTTAAAAGACATTTATTTTCCTCTTTGCAGGGACTTGAAATCACACTGAGATTAAGTACAAATATAAATAAAGATTTCATACTGAAGTAGTGATATTCAATTGATTCTAATGCCCGTGACGGTGGGTGCTTAGACTCCCATGACATGTAATTGGATATGATAGGATCACTAAATGCGCACACTGTTCAGCACAAACATACAAAACACACCCACTCTCAGGGCTGATTGCTTGGCTGTCATCTCTGTCCAGTCTCAAGAGGTTTTCTCTTGCTATTGAAGTCACATTTTCCCTGCTTGAGAAAGTCTTGGGTTTCCGCATCTAAGTGGGCAAACCCCAGAATGGGTAAAGCTATTTAGGGCATTTAGGGCCAAGTATCGCCCTGAAATCTATGTTGCCTGTCGATCACTCAGCCATTCTCACAGGACCTCCCTTTCAGCTCATTCATCTCATCCACTTATACCATTTATTCATCCCCAGTTCTCTACATTGCATCTTTTTTATTTTTTTACTCCAGCCAAACCTATCAAATCCACACCAGTGAGCTGTGTAAGCGTTAGTGCCAATTGTGGTTCATGTGACTGACAGTAATTGGTGCACAATGGCTCATAGGAGCAACGCTCGAAGCAGCGATGGCTCTTAAAGCAGTTGATGTATTTTTCAGTCAGTGTTGAGGACAGCTTCCACATGGCCCCGTTTGCATTCATGTGCAGATAAGTGTAATTGTCGGAAATATTGATTGTGAGTGCGGGTTTGAGGTTTTGCTGCCTGTCTGAAGAAACCTAGCCAAAATACAGATGTATGTATCCTTCCTGCAGCGATTATCACTATGCACAGTTGAAACTGTACACCTGCAGATCAGGTGTCCTGACGGCAAGCCTCGTACATATTTAAACAGCCCAAGAAAAGTGCACAACCCCTTTTGGATGGATGGATGTATAAATAGAATTATACAACAACAACAACGTATGTTAGCCCCCTCAAACCGCTCATTTTTTGGTGATCTTTCCCTGTTCTTGCACCCGATGGATGGTAAAAGCAAATAGTGAGGCAGAGAAAATGTGGTTTCAGCCTGGCAAAATTCCACCACAGAGACCTGCCCACACCAGCTCGCTCTTATGTCTCCCTGTCTCGTTCTCTTCTTTCCAGTTCGCTTGCTTTATATCATCCACCCTGTCTTAGCCAGTGCCTGAACTGACTTAGAATGAAGAATCTCCAGTGTCAAAAGCAGATGGATACTCTCCTAGACCCGGAGGGAGGTTTTGTAGGTTTCGAGAGCTCTGAGGAGAAACCACATTCATAAACTTTCAATTTTTTTTTTTTTTCTGAGTTAGTTGGTGTGTACAGGAGCAGCCAAATGGGAAACCTTAACTGTTTAATAAAGGATGTTCGTAGCATTTAAAAAAAAATCTCCTAGACCCGGAGGGAGGTTTTGTAGGTTTCGAGAGCTCTGAGGAGAAACCACATTCATAAACTTTCAATTTTTTTTTTTTTCTGAGTTAGTTGGTGTGTACAGGAGCAGCCAAATAGGTAACCTTAATCTGTTAACTAAGGATGTTCAGTAGCATTTAAAAAAAAATGTATTCACTCAAGTACTCACCAATAGCAATACAGAGTACCAATACTACAAGTAATTTTGTTTCATGAAACACGAATGAAGACAAGGACAGGTAATTGTGATGTAAAAAACAAACAAAAAAAAAACAAAAACTCCTGCCTTTCTGAGGCACATTACGATTCACTAATGTGTCAAATGTACCACCAACTTCCCTCCAAAGGAGGACTTACTTAATGTCAGATTTTTTTTTTTTTGTTTGCTTTAAGTATGGATAGCTGTTAGCTGCAGCCTCCATGAGTACCTGATACATGAAATATCACGCCAAATCAAAACAGAAGTTGTTCCAGGGCACTTTTCACATGCAGCAGGTCTAAGACAACACTGCTCACTTGATAAAAGACTAACTCAACCCCGAATGAACCGATCGATAACTGCCCATCTCTATTATTCAGTGATCATTAAGAATTTTTATGTTGCTGTGCAATTGCCACTGTCTGTTGCCAATAATCTAGCAGTTTAAGGGGCTTTATGCTTTATAATGTATGAATGGGCTGTTCCGTTGTTGTGCCATTGTCACACCTGAAAGGTGCGGCCATCTTGCCTTCAAATGAGTACTTTGTTTGTGGCGGCAGGGCGCAACTGGAAAAGTTCTTTTAACAAAGGCATAAAACATCGTACAGTGGGGTCGAAGAGCAGGGAAAAAGAAACACATGATCTAAAACAGAGTACTTCCAAAAAGAGGCTGAATCTCAGCAGAGATCTGGCAAGATAACCATCAGGTGATTGAATTGACCTACTCTGAGCATGACCGACCATGGTTACCATTCTCAGGCCTTAGTTGCATGGCTCATGTGGTTTGGGATGCAGTGGAAGCAGCAATGCTTTTGGGCTCCCCAGAACAAACATGGATAGGTCCAACATAAAGTCCCTGTGGAGAAACCATAAATTGGAGTTATGGAGGTGGTGACGGACATGAGACCGTGAATATTTTTGTTTTTTTTCAGGGATCAAGGTACATGTGTGCTGAAGGGAAGGCTAATTTGCATGGACATGTGCAAAATACGCATTCCAATATTGTTGACCGAATCAAATATCGGATATAAACGATCATCTATCTGGTGATCTATCCCATGTGTGTCCTTTTGTGGAACCTCTTCAATGTCTAAACACACTGAAGATCAATAAAACACGCACATGCACGCTAACAATAGTTTGGCTCTGTCTGCTATCAGATTGAGGCTGCTGGGATGGCCAGAAACAACACGTGGCATTCTTTTCCAAACAGAATTTGTCTTACTTGAGGGTCTCACCGTTTTACTTGACCACTTAACCGCAAACGTTCATCTGCACACACTAGTAAACCTCCAAGCATAAAAAGACAATGATACAGCACTCAGATGTTCTCTCATCGTGGAGTAGATTTCAATTTTTTCTTTTCTTCTAGTGAAAGCAAGCAAGCACAAATACACAGCGTGGACGTTTTCTTCTCGCTCCAATTCAGCAGGCAGGGTTTGACATGGAACAGTTACTGGATAGAGTCGCTAACTTTCAACTCACCCGTTTGAGGCTGTTGACATGAATATGCAGGGAACATGATTACCAGACAGGAAGCCATTAAAATTTGAACCTCTATGGTATTGTGGTGCTTAAGTACTCAGTGGTCCCCAGTGTGAAAAACAAACATTTGGACATGCTGGATGTGGAGTTTTTTATGAGCCATATACCGGCACATTGTGATGTATGCGGACCTTCGTGTCATGTGTTTCCTGCAATGAAACGACAATAATATTATGTCGAATGATGAGAAGACAAGATGATAACCCCGCGGGAGTAACAATTCATTTTCTGCCAACACGATGATCACAATTCATATTCAAAGAAGGACCACTTGATCAGTTGTTGAGGGGAAACTTTTTCTTGGTATGCGTGCACCCCGTGTGTCTGTCAGTGCTGTAAGTGGACATGATAATGAATGGTGAGTGTGAGCAAAGTGACAGCGTGGCACTACTTCCTCCCTCTGCGCTCATGAATCCATCCACTTTTACAATACACCATGACGGGCTTTCATGCCGCGGCAGAAAACAATTTCTTTTCCAATTATGGGACCTGCGTGAGTGAGTGAGTGTGTGTGTGTGTGTGTGTGTGTGTGTGTGTGTGTGTGTGTGTGTGTGTGTGTGTGTGTGTGTGTGTGTGTGTCTGCAGGTGATGGCACGCATTACATCTGTGTTCTTCCTTGTTACCTCTGTAGGCTGTAGGCAAACAGCTGTGTCTCCAGGGTTTGACATGACACAACACACTTTGCCATGGTGCGGTACGGTCGTGTCACTCATATTTCCTGATCAGATATTTGCATGCATTTGTGAGCCACTTTTTGGGTACAAATTCATGCCAAGGCCTACCAGTTTGATAAACACTTCTGAAATAACAGATTTGCTCAAATGACCTTTCATTATATGTTATTGGTGAATAAATCACGGTATTCATCTATGTTAAGATTATGTAATTATTTCACACAATAACGGAGAGCAAAGACTTACAAAGGCAATAAAATATCTTTATCTATCCATCCTGTCATTCAATCTCTCATAACTTTACATTTGACTCTGTTTTTCCAATGATTACTTCATTTCGAGAAAATCACAATGTCCCATCACAGGTGAGCTCTTTTTAGTTTCGGCGCATGGGTTACTTGTGCGCTGATTGGGGTCACCTAAAGTCTCAAGTATGGCACAACACAAGCTTATCTGAATAATGCAAACACATTCATGAAGTTTTCCAAAGGCAAGAGGAAAAAATATCTTGTTCTTCCGGTTTTGTAAAACCAAGATGTGGCCATAAGTCCCTCAAATAATTGATGATGCATCCAAATCAACAAAAGAATGTGACTACCAGAATATGATTATAATTGCTGGAGGATGACCCACTTAGCCCACATCTGAGTTTATTCTCAAAATTTATGGGTTAACGGGAGGAGATGTCTTTGCATAACGAGTCTAAATATTTCAGTTCATCTCCAAAAGATTGAGTGATGCAGTGGAATCAAAAAGTAAAAAAAAAAGAAAAAAGGATTATGCAATCAAGTATTTCTTTTTTATTGAGTTTCCTCCCCGAAGCGTTTGCAGTTTGTTTGAACAGGCCTCTTTACACAATGAAGCGGGAAAAAAGTAAAGAAATGTTTTATGTTGGGGTTACTTTTTAACATCATAAAAGCTGACGTTTCACAGTGGGTGTTGCCATTTCGTTTCCACTGTAGATACTGTGTTGTATCTTTTTACACTCATTTGAAGGTTACGGGTGATTAAAATGTTACATTGGGATCTTTGTGGTGTATTAGGAATGTTTTTCAGATCACTGGCTTGACTGGATTCCCACACTGAATCTGTAACCTCCTGGCTGGGAATGCCACACTTACTATGTAAACTGCTTCAGCGTCCACTGGGCTTGGCCCGCCGTGGTCTTCCCATCGTCTCTGGTTCTGCCGTCTTGACTGTGGTCGACTCATATAGTATCTGGTTGTTTATTGCGGTCCGGAGCCCACTTCGGGCCTGATACCTTTGCAGATTTTGCTGCCAGAAAAACTTTTATGATGAAATGTGAGGCAGGAAAAAGGGAGGTGAGGACAAACAGAGACAATGTTTTCTTTGAGCCTCACTTTCACTTAGCTAACCACTGTCCAGAATACACATTTGGCTATCTTTGAAAGAAAGAGGAAGTCAGCTCAAGTGCTTGTCGGTTTAACCTTGCGTACATGTTTTTTGTGTGCATGTGGCAAACATAAGTAGATGTTTTCCCAAGTAATACCAAAGATTCCAATCGTTAGGCATATTGCAACCACGGAATCTTGAACACATCTGAATGATTTGCTTTGTCAGATTCATTGACATCTCTTTATTAAAGGGGAACTAAACCTAAGATGCCTAATTTTTCTCTCCCCCTCTATGTACTGTCCACATATTTTTGTATCATATTGTATGTGATCATTAAACATCTGTCAGGCCGACACAATTCAATAACAGGCATGGTTTGACATCACTTCCAGTCTGCAGCTGAAAATGACTGCCCAGCATGCGTTTAAATTTATGAATTATTCTGGTGAATTCTTATTCCATTAATGCAATTCTTCAGAGTACCGTGTTTTTACTAGTGCGGGCACATACAATATATTCTTGCTTTTAAGCGTTTTGGGGCTCCGTTTCCCTTTCAACTAGCCAATGTTGGTTAGGTGTGTGAAGGAAAGCCAAGGAAGAAATTATAATAATACTGTGCTGTTCATCGTCATCTTTTCACTGTTAGCAAAGATACAAATGTATGTTTAGCTTAAAACTGTCCCGCTGATGGTGTGTAGCTGAGAAAGCAACACACGTGTTTCATTGTTGTTGACATTCTATAGCAGAGGGATGCATCTGAGGTTTTACCCTTTTATTTTATTTTGTTTTTATTTATTTTTGTTTTGTCTGAATCTCTCCTTCTGTTCTAACTCATCGGGATCCCTTCAGCTCTCTTTACCCATCTCGGTTTCCCTTTTTTCCACTTCTATGTCTGGCAGTTGTCGGTGCTCTTTGAGGGTATTAGCAGGGTGTCCTTATTGTACTATCCCAGCTTAGTGGGCCGCTGCAGGTGAGAGTGGGGATTTCCTGTTCAGCCTCTCCAGAACATTCTTGCTAAATTGCTCCTTTCCAGGTGGAATTTGAGGGTAGTGGGGCTCTTTGCACTCATGTTGCGGAACCCGAACTTTAGCATGCATTGATGTGAACACACTTACAGACCCAAGGTGCAAGGATTAGTGGTGTCATCTGGTTTTTGGGAGTGCGTGTGTGTGTGTGTGTGTGCGTGTGTGTGTGCGCGCGTGTGTGTGTGTGTGTGTGTGTGTGTGTGTGTGTGTGCGTGTGTGTGCGTGGGTGTGAGTGTTTTGTATGTCTGGTGTGTCGTGTGTGTGTGTGTGTGTGTGTGTGTGAAGGGCTGGACAGAAGTTGGCTTGGTTGTCTGACTCTCGTCTGCCAGCGGAGCAATATAAGACATTTTGCACCATCTGACACGGAGGGGGGCAGACCTGCTTCTAATGCTTCTTCTTGAGAGAAAAGCACTGTGTGCCTTCGACCAGTGTGTTGCTCTCTTTTGTTAAACAATCTGGAAAACATATGCTTGGGTCAGTGAGCATTAATGGAAATTAAAAAACAATAAACAATCTTGTAGTCTTAAAACCCAAGAGATGCTGGTAATGTAATTTGACGTTGAGCCACAGCAGAGAGATGCATATAACCCTCATGACAGCCAGTGAAGTTTTTATGTGTGTGTGTGGCTTCCTCACAGCAGGCAGTATAAAGAAGACCGGAGATGTATGTCAAAAAGCGACTTAAGGGTGTGTGTGTGTGTAAAGTGTGTAGACAGTAAGATCTTTGGCAGCTCTGGCCATGATCACACTCACACACGCTTTTACTTTTCTGGCACAAAGTTGAGCGTATACTACTTTTAAAAGTCAACAAGTCAATCAAAGTGAAACATTTTCATCACTTATTCCATGTGGACCACCCGAGGTCACAAGTAGTGCACACGATACCATTTTAGTTTAGTTTTGCTGTTGTTGTTTTTGTAAATGTTGTTGCTGTTATATAAGTCTTTCCTAATCTTCAAGGTTCTGCTTATGTCTTCCACTGCCAAAGGATACTTCATGTAAACAGTTTGGCCCTCCACATTGAACTCAGTTGTGTGTTTTTAACTATTTTAGGTAGATGCTCTAAGGGTGCGTTTGGAAGAAAAAGAACAGTTCCTGACAAAGAAGAACAAGCAGCTTCAGGACCTGACTGATGAAAAGAGCACTCTAACGGGAGAAATCAGAGACATGAAGGATATGTTGGACGTCAAGGAGAGGAAAGTCAAGGTCCTCCAGAAAAAGGTAGGTGCACCTATAAATCACAGTAATGACTGAGTCATACAGTGTAAAGAACAATTTTGGACATGCAGATAGACACTGAGACGTTTCAACTCCCCAGTAAGCACAGTAATATTAGCCATTCTTCGCAGAGGATAAAGAAAATATGCACGAAGGTATTGTTGTGTTGTCTTTCGCTATGTCTCACTTCAAGGGTTGCAACACCACCACTCCGATGCTGTTCGTAAGTCAGTCTATGGCTTTTCCCATTAAGTGTTAGATGCATGAAGCTGGTGGGCCTAAATGTAAAGTGACATAAAGTAGCTGTTTTAAATACTGTACACAAGGTATAATTCTCTTGAATATTTAGTTTAACAGTAAACTTTAAGAAGTGGCAATAAATGCACTGAGGTCCCCTGTCAACTACCTTGTTTCTTCTCCTGTCCTCAATTTAGATCTCCCTGTCTTGCCTTAAACCCCCCTTGCTGCTTTTAATTGATAAGTGCCTCCAAAGGTCACATGTTATTTCGTCAGTCTCTGCGTGTTTGGACATTTTTTTCTACATGAATATTTAATACCTTCTCTCTCAGACCCTTGCGCGTGCCCTTCTGTGCAGTGTGCAGTGTGTGTGCACATAATAACAGTGAATATGAAACTTGCAACGACCACTACTTACAGGTTCATCCACTGAAAAAAATGCGTTGAATTTAATCAAGTGTATTTTGTCAAGTGGACACACGAAATAAAGTAATCTGGATCCAGATACATTTTTTAAGTAGGCTACATAGCTACTTAAAACAAAAATGAATTTCAATCCAGATCGTATTGTGTGCAGTCACTGGACAAAATAAAATTGAGTAAATTCAACATACCATTTATTTTTCAGTGTACTTCGTACAATTGAAATCAACTCTGTTTGGTAAAAAAAGTTCCCCCGGACCCTAAAATGAGAAAGCTAAATCTGCAATTGACAATATAGTCAACTCTATTTATTCACTCATGCTCCACTCACATCTCGGGATGTTTGATGTGTTGAAGATAAACCAAGAAAAGATCATAGAACTGTACAGTAGTCCTATTTAAATTTGTGTATCTATCAATCTGTGGATGTTTCTTTCTTTTTTTTAAGATTCACTCTGTTATTTGGGATGCTCTGCTATGTGCTGTCTGTTCCCTCTCTCATTTTGAGTCTGCGACAGACAATTACAGTGTGTAAGATGTTTGATATGAAAGCAGAATTTAAACAAACTGACAGCCAGCTATAGTAATTAGTAGAGTTTGTCTTTCATTATTTGTGATCGTTAAGTGGCAGCATTTTGATTTGCAAGGCGCAAATCAAGGATTCTTCTTCCCTTCAAACTGATATAGACTCTAGCCTTTAATTTTCAAAGAGCCAATGTTTTTCAGTGAGGATGTATAGTATTTATTGACATGCAATGAGCTGGCATACGGTATGGCCTTTGGGTGGATGCGGGCGGCTCGAAGTGTTTTTTCAACGAATTGATGCTCCATTTACTGAGGTCGATCAGGCCACATGTGACAATACTTTAATATTCAAAACAAAACCTCCTTATCTCCTGTAGCCTTGAATATTGTAATGCTCTTCTGACTAGACTCCCTCAGAAGCCAGCCTAATCAAGCCAGCCACCACAACTTTTGTTTGTTGGCTAATACACTGCGCCGCGAGGGTCAACTTCAAAATATAAGTAAAACAACTAATAGTGTACGTGAACAGCAATGCCTTATTTATTTTAAGTTAACCCTTGGAAGTCATCATTGTGGCGGCTAACTTGACTTTGAATTGAGGCTGGCCTGACCGGTGCACAAAAGCACATCGGCGGATTTGAACTGGAGATGCAATATTCAATTTCCAGTGCTCATGTGCACCTCCCCTGGCTATAAATCACAAATGGCTTAAGTAGACTCGGGTCAACAAAGCAAACATGGTGGATCAGCATTTGGCTGTGATGCTTGATACAAATGGAAAACATTTTTACATGCTTTTAAAGCCATTTTAAAATCTGTTTTTTTTTCCCCGTACATATGATTAAGGTCTTTTAGAGTGTTGCCCATTTTCACTGTCCACTTTTTTTAGCAGTGAGTTTGGAACACACCATTTTAGTGCACTTGAGACCCTTTCGGGTGCCAAAGTGTCAACAATTGGGCAGGTGCTCCCAAAATGCCGATATAGACTCTAGCCTTTAATTTTCAAAGAGCCAATGTTTTTCAGTGAGGATGTATAGTATTTATTGACATGCAATGAGCTGGCATACGGTATGGCCTTTGGGTGGATGCGGGCGGCTCGAAGTGTTTTTTCAACGAATTGATGCTCCATTTACTGAGGTCGATCAGGCCACATGTGACAATACTTTAATATTCAAAACAAAACCTCCTTATCTCCTGTAGCCTTGAATATTGTAATGCTCTTCTGACTAGACTCCCTCAGAAGCCAGCCTAATCAAGCCAGCCACCACAACTTTTGTTTGTTGGCTAATACACTGCGCCGCGAGGGTCAACTTCAAAATATAAGTAAAACAACTAATAGTGTACGTGAACAGCAATGCCTTATTTATTTTAAGTTAACCCTTGGAAGTCATCATTGTGGCGGCTAACTTGACTTTGAATTGAGGCTGGCCTGACCGGTGCACAAAAGCACATCGGCGGATTTGAACTGGAGATGCAATATTCAATTTCCAGTGCTCATGTGCACCTCCCCTGGCTATAAATCACTGAATGGCTTAAGTAGACTCGGGTCAACAAAGCAAACATGGTGGATCAGCATTTGGCTGTGATGCTTGATACAAATGGAAAACATTTTTACATGCTTTTAAAGCCATTTTAAAATCTGTTTTTTTTTCCCCGTACATATGATTAAGGTCTTTTAGAGTGTTGCCCATTTTCACTGTCCACTTTTTTTAGCAGTGAGTTTGGAACACACCATTTTAGTGCACTTGAGACCCTTTCGGGTGCCAAAGTGTCAACAATTGGGCAGGTGCTCCCAAAATGCCAGTGAAAGTTAAAAATTGCACTCGCGATCCTGAAATGTGAGTGACACATTTACAGGCTATCTGTGAATTGTCGGCATAGAGACGGTACTTGCGTGCTGATCCAACCAAAACACATAGTAAAGGAATGATGACGCTTCAGCACAATGCTGGGTTTTCACAACACTTAACCTCTTGCCGGTTGCCCAACTCGCGCACAACCAGATTCAGCCTACACTGTTGTGCAGTGGCGGTCCAGACACTGATTGGGTTGCGCAATGGTTGTAAAGGGAAAAAAAAAAAGAAAATAAAGGCAGCTCCTGGATGGACATCTGGAAAAATAAAAGCAGCAAACACTTTGTAGACCACTTATGCGGATGTACGAGTAAAAGACGAATGAATGTGACTCAAAATATATGATGCAAATGACCGCTTTTATGTTATAGTGTTTTACATTTGGCAGCCTTCGTATTTGTTTTCTACTAAATCAAACCGGGTTTTCTTTCTCTACTCCTTATTTCTATATTATGCCAGCATATAATGTACCGCACTTCATCTGTTAAACTCAGGTTGTAAAGATCTTTGACATGTGGAACTTTGGAATGGTGAAGAGCTATACTTTAACCCCTCATTTGTGCTCTACTTGTTGCTTAATAGAGCAAAGGATATGTTACTTGCTTGTATGTATTTCTTGCCTCAGGAGACGACTGCCAGTGTTTCCTACCGCCCCCTCCATGGCTAGCCACTCTGACTTATAGCGTGGCACCATGATGTCACTGCTGTAGCTTGAGCCTCAGGTTGATTTTCATCGTTAAAGGCCGAATTTAACCAAGAGTAATGAGCAACTGCTCTTTAAGTGAACAAATGAATGTGAATTTGCAAGGTTTCGGCCTTCGCATTTTTTTTGGGGGGGGGGGGGGTCCCATATCACCGCGGGAAACAGTGGGAGCTCTGTTGGAACCCCTTCGTCTATGTGAGCATGACCAATGCATAATGATGCATTTATTTATTTATTTATTTATTTTCATTTTGGGTTTCTTTCCCCTCTCAGCTCCTCTCTTTCACCGGGGGTGTGGTTGCGGAGGCACAGAGGCAGAGACGGTTCTGGTGCGGTCTTGGCACGCATGTGTTATTCATGTTCAAACATTGTGGTCGTCTCAATCCATATTCATGATTTTAAAAAGCCGAGCTTTGTGCGTGGAAGTATAGTATCCACTATCAGGTTCCCTCCCGATGGCAACCGCAGACGGGCAGCTCCAGTTACCTCTGCCTTGGCTGCACTTACTGGACATAGGAGCATATATACTGTATGTGTGTGTGTGTGTGTGTGCGTGTGTGTGCGTGTGTGTGTTGTAATGTATTTGTGTGCGTGTGCGCAGGGGCTTGAAAGATGCCCTTCATTCAACAATCTCTGTTGTTTCTGGTTTAGTCAGACAGATGCCCCTTGACGATCTCACCCTCTTTCAAACTCTTGCGGCATTCGCTCTGGTCTGGTGTCATGCCTCGCCCAGGCCTGGTTTCAATGGCAAGACAATACCAATCCAAATTCTGGACATGTTACAACAGCGTGACTTTGTAGTAGAAGAGTTTGGGTACGAAACTAGACTGCCTGCAGTCCTGACCTGTCTCCCATTGAAAATGTGTGGCGCCTTATGAATCGTAAAATAGAGATTGTTGAACAGCTGAAGCTGTACATCAAGCAAGAACGGGAAATAATTCCACCTACAAAGCTTCAATAAATAGTTTCCTCAGGTCACAATCGTTTATTGATTGTTGTGAAAAGAAAGGGTGATCTAACACAGCAGTAAACATGACCCTCTCTCAGCTTTTTTGGAACATCTTGTAGCCATAAAATTCTAAGTTCATGATTATGTGCAAAAAAAAAACAATAAAGTTTAACAGTTTGAACATTAAATGGCTTGTTTTTGTGGTGTTTTCAATTCAATAGAGCTTGAACATGATGTGCAAATCATTATTTGTTATGCACAACATTCCAACTTCATTGGAATTGAGTTTGTAAAAAACAAAAACTAGAACAAA